CTTGACAAATAATTATTTTAACCCCTGGCCAGCGTTATTAGAATTATTTATGTCGTATGATGAGAKATTCTTTGAGATGGTTTTCCTCTAAAAGGATCTTGTTGGATATTGAATTTGACATCGAGACAGGGAACACTTGATGGAAAATGAAAGCGTYGTTAATTGGTGGCATTATGTACGGAATGTACAAGGCGGGCGACATGTTAATTTGCTGCAACTCTCAAGTGAACAGTTGTCAAAATTATGACATTTTTTCAGCAACCAAAATTTATTTTCCTGACATTGCAAAAAGATAACCAAGCTGAAAGCGTTTGTGACATATTTTATCCACCAAAMTTTTTTWATGAAATTGCAAAAAACATAAACAARCTGAAAATAAACAATTTTAGGGGTTTTGCCCGATTCTGGGGGTTTTGGATAGCCCTCGCGCAACTTTGTTTTTATCCGCGAAAACGGACAATGAAACTAATGAACAAGCAAGACTAATTTATATCAAAGCAACGATATAATAATATGCTATAGCTCAAACCTTTTTGAATACAACTTTACCATGGTATCTATAAAATATTTATTTATTATCGATAATGTAATATCTTATCATGATGAGGTACACAAATGTCAAAAGATCTAAGCTGAATTAAACTTCGTTCCATGCTTGAGGAGTATTTTGGTGCATCGGACGTTTGCTACAACAACATTTTCCCACAACCTGTCCAAATGACTGTAGCATGCTACGAATGATTCTTATGTATGCTATGTATGGAATTRGCGGATTTGTAAACTGTTCACAGTGAAATTCATCGAGGAGTTGGCAACAGTACAGTTGCGACCCAGTTGAGTTTCATATCAAATGCACAGACGAAATCTTCCACGGGATGGGAGAAGCTGTACCCAACAAGAGGRAACCAGCAAGCTGCRAACAACAAGATGACGATTGCAATCGTCCCAGACAATCGATTCTCAATGGCTCTTTCACTTGCTGTGGACGAAGATGCGGTCACTACCATTTTATGGGAGCGTTTGATCTTGTAAAGAATCATCCCGTAGGAGGAAATCATTACAACTTCACATAGGATAATGAGGACAACACCTACATAGTTCACTACTGGGAATATGTCGAGTAAACTGCCAAGTATGATAGCTATTCCCCAACAAATGGCCAACATTATCTTGGGCCATTTCTTCATTATTTCGCGGTGACGATGAGGTTTAACCACTGAAATCAATCGGTCAATGCTCATGGCTGCAAGATGAAAAGCCGAACTACTACAAGAAAATGGAGATGCTATGCGATGGACAGCTTCCAGTGATGAATTGCAATTGTATTTAAACGTTTTCAGAGCTGTCGCTGTAACATATAACGGTTGTGCTACCATGGTCACTACCAAATCTGCTACTGCCAAGCTCAAGAGAAGATGGTTAGATGGTCTTTGACGAAGCTGAGGTGTTTTGAACACARTAAAAATWATCAGAAAGTTCCCACATGTCCCAATAGCGGCAAGAAATACGTTTATAGCTACCATAGCGGTTCCTTGTGCCTCTTCTATTTTTATTTGGTTCGTTATTGTACCAGTTGTTGTGGTCAATGACTCGAAGAATGATGAATTGTTAGTTGAATCAGGCATTGCTTTTGGTCTTGCTTGTCTTGTGAAGGCTATGCAGAGCTTGATTATACAAGGGCGCCCCGGATACGCTCATTTATTGACACATTGAACAAGTTCTTCTCGCAATTTTTAGATTCATACTCATGAACGTTTTCTACTACGTTACCATTAAGTCCCACCTGCGGTCTTCCATTAATAGCACAAATACTTATTTTGACATATATATGATCAGACATAATATGACATCTGCTTCGTACACATCACGTTTCTATTAGCTGTATCAAGATCTCATAGGATTCTAAAACATTTACTTCCTAATGGCTTACACTAGTATATATAACTTGTGCTACAATAGTTGYCCACACTGTCTTGTTTAGAATTATGTACTTTAACTTAGCCAAAGTCTAGTTACAGCTTGTGACTTCTTAGCTTTCACTGACTTCTTATCCTCTTATTAAATCGAATATTCCATTAAGCTGTCGAATAGGAACTATAAGTTTGACAGTATAGCGAGACTACAAGGCATCTTATTTCAGTTTCCACTTTATCACTTAGGATATCCCTACGTGGATTACGTTGCTGTAATATTGCACCAACTTCAGATAGACTCCTCCTTTGCAACCGTACGCCTCTATACATTATTCAAAACATCCTTCGTTAGTTTAAAGCCATGTAGCATCATWTATTTTAAATATCTTTCTTAAATAACTTGATGGAAAGTTAGTATAAGAGCTCTCTTCTGTCTGTCATACTATCTCGGGGCATAGTCTGGTCGTTCTCAGCCTCGGCTGAACATCTTATTGGTAAAACAAACTTTAGTACGTCAAAACGTTTTTCCTATCCAATAATATTCCGCTACAGCCTGCCAATTTAGTTGAGCAGCTAACCGCAAATTGTGGCCAAAGTTCGGTTCATTTTGTGATACAAGTATGGAACTACTTTGTAAGATACTCACTATAAAGATAGATTCACATCTTGTACMGGTTAGTTGGTTAGCTGAGCTCAGTTGTGTGAAACATCGCTGAAGTTCAAGATAAAAACCGTTGAATACAGTACCGGCTCTTTCCTGAGTACATCCCACAGTTACAAGTCGTATCCAGCAAGCCAAAAATACCTTGTAACARATYGGTAGAGAACTCCGGGTTTTTCTCAAGACATTACGCATACCAATTTATTTATGATATTTCTTTCATCAGACATATAAAAAGTTTATGCAATTCTATTATAAGACATAAAACAGACTCGTCATGTGGTGACAATATTTTGAATACTTGCCATTAATAATTTGKTATTTCCACTGTTCATGAGTATTGGTTAAACCACGGTTTACAATTTTTTTGGTTGCTTTTATTTTCATTTAGAAAAATCTCACAAAAGCTTATTTTTAAAGAGCCAGTCGAAAGCAAACACGGTGTATGTAGGATGGAAAGTGAAGTGCTAGGGTATTCTTTAAACCACGGTTTAAAATTTTTTGGTTGCTATTATTTTTATTTAGACAAATCTCCCANTGTAATGATGTTCAAATTCTTGTTTGAGCAAATAAAACTTTCACATGCGTAACAGATGTTTTATTACATCATTTAGTACATCAACAGAAGTTGCACATGTATTTTAAATCATGTTCATAGACAATATTTTAGGTGATTAACAACCAGAAATGATTATTTTTCAATTTGTTGTGTCTTTTTGCTTGGATTGGATCGCTACACTAAAAAGATTTAAACGAAAAATACAATAAGGTGGCTGTCTTTCAGTGATTAATTTTGAATCTTATATACACCGTAAAGTTCGTTTTGTGTCTATTCTGGACATAACAAGAATATTTTGAAACTTTTTGTAGTAAAGATTATTGTTTTATTTAGGAAAATAACTGTTCCTTCATTACCTTAGTAACAGTTGCCATGGTAACGTAKAACGCCATAATTTGCACCTAGAGTTATAAAATATGGTTAGTACAATAACATCTAAGAGTTTGAAGTAAATTGAAAGAATACTTCCAAAGATATGATTTTTCAAGTTTCCTGTCATGTTTCTAAAAAAAACAGTAAATCCCCACCCCTCCCCCCAAAAGCCCCATTATGTCATCAAAGAACACGGTAGAACTTTGGAAACAAGCAGAATATTAAAATACAGTTAACAAGCTTTCATTTGATATTAGATTCACTATGTCTACCAAGGTGCTTCACCTTTTTACCCCCTTGGCTAATAAAGTAAAGTATCAATTGAAATATTATGTGATCGTCATCAAAAAAAAAAAAAAAGGATTCGTTTTATCGACTGCAGTGAACCTTTGATTACATGATCCTTAAAACATTTTTTAAGGGAAATTTATAAACTTCTTTCTATTTTCTTCAATTTATTTTTTTCATTTTTTCAATTAATKTAAARACCTTCAAAAAGCGCTAAAGAGTTAATAGCTGTCGTGGTTGTGGGAGTAAAAAACCCACTCAAAATTCTGGAGTGGCCAATCAAAACTTCAAGAAGCCACTGATCCGAAGCAAAATTTATTTTCGAATGTAGTTGCTTGAAAAATACAAAAAAAACCTTGTATTCAAGAAGCTAATGTCTTTGAATATTGCATAAACCTAAAAATATTTTTTTCGCCAGTCAGTAAATATGTTCTTGTCGGTAGTCAGTAAATTTTGTTAAAATTTGTCGCTAGTCAGTTGTTATTTTGTCCATTTATCGCTAGTCGTTTAACCCCATTCAGACCTTGTTATGGAAGCAGGTGATGTAAGCTGAATTTTATGCGGAATTTTATA